CAGCCCCAATTCCTGAGGGTTTTTTTTCCATGTTTTTGTTCCAGAGGATTTAATTCCTGAATTCCCAACCCAGGCTCCACAGAGCGGCTGGAAATCCAGATTAAAGCGTGGAAAAAAGGGGGGGAATTTTGAATTTAATCCCTGGCTGGAGACGCAGGCACAGGAGGGGTTGAAATTGCCCAAATTCTGCTTTTTTCCCCCCTTTTTCACCTGCGACTTTTGGGTTTTTTAAGGGGTTATCAGCAAAAGGGGCGCTCGCAGCAGAACCCCCCAAAAATCAGAGCTCCTAGACACCCCCTCCTCAGCCAAACCCCCCCAAAAATCCCCGGATCGCCTTCCCAGCTCAAAATTTGAATATTTTAAACATTTAGGGATCCAAAAGCCGCCACCGGGGAGGGAGGAAAAGGGGAGAGAATTTTAATTTTTACTATTTTTTGTTATTTATAATGATTTCCCATTTTTTCTCTCATTTTTAAAAGGCATCACCCCCCCGCTGGGGCTCTGCCAATCATCGCTGATAATTTGGGGTGGAAAAGCGCAAAAAGCGCTGCTTTTGTCCTCATCATCCCAGCAACAAAAGGGGGGAAATCGGGGCCAAAAAAACCAAATAAAACGGGGCCAAAAACCTAAATAAAACGGGACCAAAAACCTAAATAAAACGGGGCCAAAAACCCAAATAAAACGGGGCCAAAGCACCAAATAAAACGGGGCCAAAAATCAAATCAAAAGAGGCAAAAATCAAGAAAAAGGGGGCAAAAAATCAAAGAAAAATGGGGCAAAAATCAAAGGAAGAGGGCAAAAATCCCCGCGAGGGGCGCGCTGGGGGGGTGGCGCAGGTTTGGGTGGCCATCCCCAGCAGGACGGGGATTTTGGGGTGGGATTTTGGGGTTTTTTGTTTTATTTTTTTAGGGCGCCCGGCGGAGCTGCGGGTGCTGCCCTTGATGAAGACGAACTGACGTAATTAAGGCAGTTTCTTGTTGCCGAGCCTAAAGCCCATCCCAACAACATGAAACTACCTAAACCACAGATCAGCTGCGCTGGCATCCACGCGATTTCTGTCAGAACGGGCGGAAAAGGGCAAAAAAAAAAAAAAAAAAACAACAAAAAAACCCCCAAAAACAAAAAAAAAAAAAAAAAAAAAACCCCAAAAAAAAAAAAAAAAAAAAAAAAAACCCCCAAAAAAAAAAAAAAAAAAAACCAAAACAACCCGGCCAGAGGAGGAGGAGGAGCGGGGGGAAACGGGGCTGGGAGGAAGGTGGGGGAAAAGAGGGGGAAAAAGGGGAAAAAAGGAGAGGAAGGGAGGAAATTCGCCCCTTTGTTGCCGGGCTCCCCTCGCGCCTCTCCCTGCCCGAAATGCGCAGCTCGGGAAACGCTCGGAAATGGCAGAATTAGTAAAAATCAGCGGAAAGAGGCGGTTTTAATGCGGCGGTCTTGGATGGAGACGGATTCAATCGCTGGCGCGGAGGCGATTTTGGGGAAATCAGCTCGGAAATCTGCTCCGAAATCAGCTCCGAAATGCGGAATTCGCGCACTGCCGCGTCCGCAGCTCCCCCGCTCAAATCGCGCGGATCCAGCCCAAAAAACCGCGGCCCGGCAGCGCCGGGGCTGCGGCAGTGCGACCCAAACCCGCTCTGGGCTCCGCACCCCGCGCAAGCCGCGCTCCAAATCCCGCAAATCCTGCGGAATTCCCGAAAGTCCCGCAGTCCCCGCCTTCCGCGCAGCCCCCGCGGCTCCTCCGCGCCGCGCAGTTTCCAGGCAAGGGAGGCTTGGGGGGCAGGAAAAACTGGGGCAAAACCGTGAATTTCCGCTCGGAAATCCCGCTGCCGGGCGCGCAAAACCGCGCGGGAGACGCGCGGGGCTGCGGGAAAACGCGAGCGCGGAGAGAGCGAGATATAAAAAAATAATATATATATATATAAAAATCATCAGAATCACAACAAAAAACAAAATCCGCGCGGAGATGCGAAACCTCCGCTCTTACCTTGCCGCCGCCATCCCAAATCCCGGCTTTTCGGGGGCGTAATCCCAGCGCAGCCCCCCCAAAAAAAAAAAAAAAAGCCGCGCGGAGGGAGTTGCGCATCCCAAGGTCGCCGCGCCGGCTCTGCCTGCCTTCCCTCCCGCACCGTCACCTTTAAATGCATCTTTTACTGCCGCGGCGCATTATATTTGCAGATCATAAAATCCACCTCCAGCGCTCGCCGAGAGCGTCCTGACATCGCTGTTTTATGACCTTGACTTATTGTGGTCACCTGGATAATATTTAAATCAAAGTTACGCGGCTCGCGCTCCTATTAAAATCCATCCTCTCCCCCCGCCCCGGCGCTCCGGGAGAAGCTCCTGGAAGGTTTAAAAAGGATGAGTCTTGAGGAAAAAAAAAGGGGTGAAAAAATAAAAAATGTTCTATACGGAGGTGGGGGGGAGGTGGGGAAGGAGAGGTTCTTCACCCCCCCCCCCCCCCCCCCCCGTCCCAAAAATGGGGGGGAAATTTAATAAATAAATAAGTGATTTTTTTTTTTTTTTTTTAAGGAACCCACTCGTCCGCGGTTCTAGGGAATTTATTTTGGCTCCGCGAAGGGAGATACATGCACAGGGTAACACGTACAGGATATATTTAAATACCACAGCCACGAGAATTTGACTTTTCAGCCTTTTTTTTTCCCCCCCTCCCATCATCAATACCCAATACTCTGATTTTTTTTTAATATTTTTTTTCCCTTCCCTCCCCCCACCTTTTTTTTTTTTTTTCCTTCTCCGTTCCCCTTAAATATTTTATTTTATTTTATTTTGTGGATGGCACCGTTTTCCCCGGCAGGAACCGCTCAGCTGCCCCTCCAATTTACCCACACGAAATCCACATTTTCTCTTTTTTTTGTTGCTTTTTTCGGCGTTTTTTTTGTACGACAGCCAAGCTACTCTAGGATTTGGGGAGGAAAAAAAGCAAAAACCAAAAAAAACCAAAGTTTGGGAGGCATTTATTCCCTCCTAAACATAAAAACCACACCTGGGGGAAAAGTCCTTCTGCTTTGCGCTGCACGGAAATAACTTAAATACTTGGTAAGGTCGGGATTTTGTTTTTTTTTTTTTTTCTTTTTTTCTTTTTTTTTTCTTTTTTTGCCACTGTTTTATTTTCCACCTTTTATTTCCCCTCCGAGAAACCGCGGGCTGCGAAATCCCCTCGTGGCGCTCAGAGCGCAAAAAACCACTCGAGGTCCTTTTGTTTTATTTGATTTTTTTCGCCCTTTCGGCGTGTCGGGTTTTTGCGGGCGCGAGGAAAACGGAAAAAAAAAAAATCAAACCAAACAAACAAAAAACCAGACAAAAAAACCCAAAATAAAATAAGAAAAATAAAATAAGAAAATAAAATAACGAAATAAAAGAACAAAACAAAATAACAGGATGAAATGAAATGAAAGAATGAAACGAAAGAATGAAATGAAATAATAAGAACAGAAAATAATCAAATAAAATACCGAAATGAAATCATCAAATAGAATAATAAAATAAAGGGAAATAATAAAAGAAAATCGTAAAAGAGGACATAAAATAAAATAAGACAGAAAAGAAAAGAGTTGGGGGGGGGGAGGAAAAAAAAAAAAAAAAAAAAAAAAATCAAACCAAACAAACAAAAAAACAAACAAAAAACCAAACAAAAAACCCAAAATAAAGTAAGAAAATAAAATAAGTAAATAAAATAACGAAATAAAAGAACAAAACAAAATAACAGGATGAAATGAAATGAAAGAATGAAACGAAAGAATGAAATGAAATAATAAGAACAGAAAATAATCAAATAAAATACCGAAATGAAATCATCAAATAGAATAATAAAATAAAGGGAAATAATAAAAGAAAATCGTAAAAGAGGACATAAAATAAAATAAGACAGAAAAGAAAAGAGGACTAAAAGAAAATAAAACAAACGAAATAAAATAATAACGAAATGAAATAATGGAATAAAATAAGGAAAAAAATAAAGAAATAAAAATAATGAAACAAAAATAAGGAAATAAAATAATAAAATAAGGAAATAAAATAATGAAATAATAAAATAAAACCAGGAAATAATAACAGAAAATAACAAGACAAAATAACAAATAAGGAAATACAATAATGAAATAAAATAAAGAAATAAAATAATTAAATAAAACAAGGAAATAAAACAATGAAATAATAAAATAAAACCAGGAAATAATAACAGAAAATAACAAGACAAAATAACAAAATGAAATAAGATTAAAAAAACCAAAATAAAACATCAAAATAAAATAACGAGATAAAAGAACAAAATAAAATAATATAAAAAACCAACAAAATAAAATAACGAGATAAAAGAACAAGATAAAAGAACAAAATAAAATAACAAGACAAAATAACAAAATAAAATAAGATAAAATAACAAGATAAAGGAACAGGATAAAATAACAAAATAAAATAAGAAAATAAAATAAAAAGAGAAAATAACAAAATAAAAATAAAATAAAATAACAAGATAAAAGAACAAGGTAAAATAACAAAATAAAATAACAAGAGAAAATAACAGGATAAAATAAGATAAAAGAACAAGATAAAAGAACAGGATAAAATAACAAAATAAAATAACAAAATAAAATAAGATAAAAGAACAAGATAAAATAACAAAATAAAATAACAAAATAAAATAAGAAGACAAAAGAACAAAATAAAATAAGAAAAAAAAATAACAAGAGAAAATAACAAAATAAGATAAAAGAACAAGATAAAAGAACAGGATAAAATAAGAGAATAAAATAACAAAATAAAATAACAACAGGAACAAAATACAGATTAAAAAAAACCAAAAAAAAACAAAAAAAAACTTTAAAAAAGCCCTAAAAATTAAGAAAAAAAATTGAAAAAAAAATTAGAAAAAACGGGAAAAAAATTAAAAAAAATCGGAAAAATTAAAAAAAAAAAAAATTAAAGAAAAAAAAAGGGGAAGAAGCGCGAGCGGCGGCGGGGGGCCGGGCGCGCTCCCGCGGCGCTCAGCTGAAGGCGCAGGCTGCGCCGAGCTCGCGGCCGCGGCTCTCGCGGTTCATCTTCTTGAGCTTCATGCGGCGGTTCTGGAACCAGATCTTGACCTGGCGGTCGCTGAGCGCGATGCTGCGGCTGATCTCCAGGCGGCGCTCGCGGCTCAGGTACATGTTGAACAGGAACTCCTTCTCCAGCTCCAGCGTCTGCTGCTTGGTGTACGGGCAGCGCTTCTTGCGGCCCGAGCGCGCCGTCAGCCACGAGCCCCCCGCCGCTGCTGCTGCTGCCGGAGACAAGGGGCCGTCACCGGGGAGGGGGGCTGGGGGAAATGGAAATTGGGGGGGTTTCAGTGAGAAAATTGGGGGGCTTTTCATGAGAAAATGGGGAGATTGGGGGGTAGGTTTTGTGAGAAAATGGGGGTTTCTGTGAGAAAATGGGGGGTTTTGGGGGGTTGTTTTTGTGAGAAAATGGGGGGTTTTGTGGGAAAATGGGGGGGTTTGTGGGAAAGTTGGGGATTTGGGGGGGGTTCGTAAGAAAATGGGGGTTTTCAGTGAGAAAATGGGGAGGTTTTGTGGGAAAATTGGGGGGTTTTGTGAGAAAATGGGGAGGTTTTGTAAGAAAATTGGGGGCTTTGTATGAAAATTTGGGGTTTGGGGTTTTTTGGTGAGAAAATTGAGGGGTTTTGTGAGAAAACTGGCGGTTTGGGGGTTTTTCGTGAGAAAATTGGGGTTTTGGGGTTTTTTTTGTGAGCAAATTTGGGTTATATGGGTTTTTTTACGTGAGAAAATAGGGGGGTTTGCGAGAAAATTGGGTTATTGGGGAGCTTTTTGTAAGAAAATTTGGTTTATTTTTTTTTCCTTGAGAAAATGGGGTTATTGGGGGGTTTTCTGCTAGAAAATGGGGTTATTGGGGTTTTTTAAAATCGTGTTTATACAAGGGCTTTAAGACACGGAAATGGGGTCGAATTAGGCCCAAATATCGGGTTTAAATAAAGGCTCTTTTTCCCCAAAAAATTTGATTATTTGGGGCTTTTTCCGCAAGAAAAGGGGGTTTTTATTTGGGGGTTTTCCGCTAGAAAATCGGGTTTATACACGGGTTTTATAGCGCGGAAATAGGGGTTAAATAAAGGTTTTTTCCGGCTCGAAAGTTGGGGTTAAATGAGGTTTTCCCGGCTCCAAAATCGGGTTTAAACAAGGGCTTTTCGGCAAGAAGATCGGGGTTGAACAAGGTTTCTTTAGGGCCCAAAATTAGGTTTGAATAAGGTTTTTATTCCGAGAGAAAATTGAGTTTACAAAGGCGGTTCTGCCGGCACGAAAATGGGGTTTAAGTAAGGATTTTCCAACGCGAAAGTCGAGGTTAAACGCGGGTTTTACCCCGGTCGGAAGTCGGTTAAAATAAAGGTGAATGAGGCCAGAAAATCAAGTTTAAGTAAGGTTCCTCCTGCACCAAAATCGGGTTCAAATGAGGGGTTTTCCACGCGAAAGTCGGGTTAAAAAAAAGGGTTTTCTCCGCTCGAAAGTGGAGTGTAAATAAAGGTTTATTCGGCACGAAAATCCGGTTTAAATGAGGGCTTTTCTGGCTCAAAAATGGAGTTACAAAAATGGTTTACTCGCCCCCAACACCGGGTGAAAATAGAGAATTTTATCCGGTTTGGAAATCGGCTTTAAAAAAGGTTCATTCGCCCCCAAAATCGGGTTTAAATAACGGGGGTTTTACCCGGCTGGAAAATCAGGTTTAAATAAAGTTTTATTCGGCCTGAAATCGAGTTTATATAAAGGTTTATTCGGGTGAAAATCAAGGTTTATTCGGCCCTAAAGCCGGGTTTAAATGACGGCGTTGGGCGGCGCCAGAGCGGGTTTGGGGCGGGGGGTGCCGGGCTTGAAAAAGGGACGCGAGATTGGGGAGAAAAATCGGGTTTTGGGGAGATAAATCAGATTTTAGGGAGAAAAATCGTGTTTTGGGGAGAAAAATCGGGGTTTTGGGGAGATAAACTGGGGTTTGGGGAGAAAAATCGGCGATTGGGGGAGGTAAATCGGGTTTTGGGAAGAAAAATCGGGGGTTGGGGAGAAAAATCGGGTTTTGGGGAGATAAATTGGGTTTTGGCGAGAAAAATCGGGGGTTTGGGGGAGATAAATCGGGTTTTGTGTAGAAAAATCGGGGGTAATCGGGGATTTGGGGAGATAAACTGGGGTTTGGGGGAGATAAATCGGCGTTTGGGGAAGAAAAATCGGGGTTTGGGGAGAAAATTCTGGGATTTGGAGAGATAAATCGGGGTTTTGGGGTGATAAATCGGGTTTTGGGGAGAAAAATCGGGGATTTGGGGAGATAAATCAGATTTTGAGGGGATAAATTCGGTTTGGAGGAGAAAAATCGGAGTTTTGGGAGGGGAGTGGGGTTTTGGGGGAAAGAATTGAGTTTGGGGACGGAAATGGGGGTTTTGGGGGCGGAAATGGAGTTTTGGGGGAGAAGCATGGAGTTTGGAGGAGATAAAATGGGATTTGGGGAGGGGAATTGGGATTTTGGGGGAAAGAATCGAGTTTGGGGGAGATAAATCGGGGTTTGGGGAGGGAAATGGGGATTTTGGGGAAAATAATCGGGTTTGGAGGAGATAAATCAGGGTTCGGGGGAGAGAAATCGGGATTTTGGGGAAAATAATCACATTTGGAGGAGATAAACCGGGATTTTGGGGTCCATAAATCGGGGTTTAGGGGACATAAATCAGATTTTTGGGTGGTAAAAAAAGGGGTTTTGTGGAGAAAATCCGTGGCGGAGGCGCCTCCAGAGCGGAACCCGCAAAGGGCGCGGGGTGAAATCTCAATTAACCAGCGCTAATTAAAAACTCCCTGCGGTCACTGGTGAATTTCGGGGTTCCCCAGATCACCCCAAAAACCCCAAATCGTTCTCGGCGCTCGCTGTGGCTGAAACCGGCGCGGTTTGGGGACGTTTTGGGGTGAAATAAATGAATTTTGGCATTTCCCCCTCCAGGCTGCGCTGCCAGGGCACAAATTGGGGCAAATCGGGGGAATTTGGGGAAAACGTCGCGGTTCACCTAAATAAACACCGGAGGATCCTTGAATTTGGTCATGGGGAGGGAAAATCCGGCCGGGAGCTGAGCCCAAATTTGGGGAAAATCCAAGAGAATCGCAGCAAATCCTCGGCCCCGCATTTGGGGAAATTCCCTGGAAATTCGGGGTTCGCCCTCCAGGACCTCGGGTGCCCCCAAACCTCCCAGCCCCCTCCCCCAAACGCTGAAATTCCACCAGAAAAGGGTTTTTATTAAAAAAAAAATCAAAATTGGGGCTCGGCAGAAAGGAAACTCGCAGCTTGGGGAGGTTTTTATGAACAGAAATCGCCCGAATCCGCCCCAAATCGCCTCTGACCGTCCCAACCCCAAATTTCTCCGAGAGCGACCCCAAAAATCTCCCAAATGCGCCCGGCCCGGCGCATCCCCCTCCAATCCAACAGCCGAGCGGATAAATCCCTTTTTATTTCTTTCTGTTCCCGTTCTTTCCGCCCACAGAGCGAACCCAGCCCAAAATAACCTTCTTTTTTTTTTTTTAATTATTATTTTATTTTTTTGGGTTATCTCCCACTAAAACGTCTCCTGGCGCTTTTGTGCAGATTAACTTTGCGGGGTTTTGATAACCTTGACTTTGCTTTTTTCCCCTTTGTTTTGGTGGGGTTTTTATTGTGTTTTTTTTGTTTTTTTTTTAATTTTTTTAAATTCTCGGGGTTTTTTTGTGCAATCGCAGCTCAGCCCTCAGATAAAATAATTTCCCCTCCAAACGCCAGATCAGAAATGTGAATTATTCGAAATAAAGAGGGGGAAAAAAGAGAATTTCTGGGCTTTGCTCCCACCAAGGCCGATTTTGGTGTGGGAGGAGAGTTTTTGGTGGGGTCAGGATTTTTTGGGAGCCGGAATTTTGGGATATTTTAATCCCCACAGCACAGGCAAAGCCAGGCTTAGATCCGAGCGGGATTTTCCCGAGATTTTTTTGTGTTTTTTCCCCCAGAAAATCCAATCCCGTCATTCCCGCTGGCCGAATCCGCCCCTGGACTTGCCCGCTTTGGGATCAAAGAGGGAATAAACCCCGAATATCCCAAAATTTTCAGCCTCTCCGGCAAAATCCAGCGGCTTTCCGTGCGAGCCTCGCCTGGGGAGAATCCCAAACCCAAAACATCTGCTCGGCACGACAGAAACATTTCTGTGCCTCCGCCAAGGAGACAAAACCAACTGAAGATTTCAATTAAAAAAAGCTTTTTTTCCTCTCCCGGAGCCTCTTCCCAGCCCTGGAAGGAGCCGCAATTCCCGCCTGGAGCTGCCGGTTCCGCCCCGCGCCTTTTTATTTCCATCATTTTCATCATTTTCATCATTTTCATTTCAATTCTTTCTCTTTTTTCTTTCTTTTTGACCTCGAGCCAGCGCCAGAGAAAAGCAATTCTCGCCCCGCGCGCGGAAATGAAGAATTCCCCTTGAAAAAAAGGGGAGAAAATCGGGGTTCGCCCCCTGGAAAATGACAACAAGCGCTCCCCAGAGCCCCCCGAGCCCCCCAAACCTCCGCGGTTCCAAAGCAAAGAACACAAAATCCGCATTTCCGTCCTTTTTCTGCACCGAACTCCGAATTTCCATCCTGTTTCTGACACCAACGTCTGAATTTCCAACATTTTCCTGCACCAAACTCCAAATTTCCATCATTTTTCAAGCACCAAACTCAAAATTTCCACAATTTTCAAGCACCAAACTCCAAATTTCCATCATTTTTCAAGCACCAAACTCAAAATTTCCACAATTTTCAAGCACCAAACTCCAAATTTCCATCATTTTTCAAGCACCGATCTCCCTTTTCCATCCTTTTTCCTCACCAAACACCAAATTTCCATCCTTTTTCCTCACCAAACACCAAATTTCCATCCTTTTTCCTCACCAAACACCAAATTTCCATCCTTTTTCCTCACCAAACACCAAATTCTCATCCTTCTTCCGCACCAAAGTCTGAATTTCCATCCTTTTCCCGCACCAAACTCGCATTTTCCATCCTTTTTCTCGCGCTCTCTGCTCCCCTTTCTCCCCTCACTTCCCAAACACATAAATACATATATTTTTCAACACCCCAGTTTGAGGCCGAATACAGACATTTTCCCCCCATAAAACCTCCTCCATCCGGATCATTTTAACCCCAATTTCTGCGGGAGAATCCGGCGGGGCAGCGAGCGCGTTCCGGGACAATTTTAACCCCTTAACCACCAAAAAACCCAAGGAACAAAACGCCGAATCCTCCCCTACCTTTGGCCTCGCTGTCGGAATTATCGGCGCTGCCGGTGTCCGCGCTTTTCCCCCTCTCCTTTTCCGCCTCGCCCGCGCTCGCTTTCGCTTTTTCCGACTTAATTTCCCCCTGCGGCCGCTCCGCGCCGGCGTTTTGGGGGAAATCGCGCTGGAATCCGGGCGAGCCGCCCTCGTTTGCCGCCGCTTCCAGCCGCTCGCCCTCGAATCCCGGCCGAAATTCCGCCGGATCGGGGCTTTTCTCCAGCGAGGGGTAGCGGTAATAACCGGCCGGCGGCGCCTCGGGCTCGGCCAGGCAGGGCTCGCCCAGCGGCGCGGCGAAGAGCGCGCCCTCGGCGGCGTTTTGCGCGCTTTTGGGCCGTTTTTGGGCGAACAGGCAGCAGCCGCTCTCCTCCTTGACGGCGGGGAAGGCGCAGCTCGGCGGCGGGCGCGGCTCGGCGCGGAACGCGTCCAGGTGAGCCAGGTAGGACGGGAAGGAGCCCGGCGAGGCCTCGGCGCCTTTGGGCAGCGCCGCGCAGCTCCGCAGCGGCGAGAAATCCGCGGGCTGGGCGAAAATGGCCGGGCCGGGGGCGAAGGGGTCGGGGCGAGGCAGCGGCTCCATCAGGAAGGCGCCGGGAGCCGCGCTGCTGGGACATGACATTTTCTCCGGGAGCGCTTGGCGGGAGGAATACTCCAGCCGGGGGCTGACATCTTTTTTTTAGCGAGGGGGGGAAGGAGGAGAGAGAGAGAGAGAGAGAGAGAGAGAGAGGGAGGAAAAAAAAAAAAAAAAAAAAAAAGGGGGAGGATCGGGGTTCGCCCCCTGGAAAATGACAACAAGCGCTCCCCAGAGCCCCCCGAGCCCCCCAAACCTCCGCGGTTCCAAAGCAAAGAACACAAAATCCGCATTTCCGTCCTTTTTCTGCACCGAACTCCGAATTTCCATCCTGTTTCTGACACCAACGTCTGAATTTCCAACATTTTCCTGCACCAAACTCCAAATTTCCATCATTTTTCAAGCACCGATCTCCCTTTTCCATCCTTTTTCCTCACCAAACACCAAATTTCCATCCTTTTTCCTCACCAAACACCAAATTCTCATCCTCTTCTGCACCAAAGTCCGAATTTCCATCCTTTTTCCGCACCAAACTCGCATTTTCCATCCTTTTTCTCGCGCTCTCTGCTCCCCTTTCTCCCCTCACTTCCCAAACACATAAATACATATATTTTTCAACACCCCAGTTTGAGGCCGAATACAGACATTTTCCCCCCATAAAACCTCCTCCATCCGGATCATTTTAACCCCAATTTCTGCGGGAGAATCCGGCGGGGCAGCGAGCGCGTTCCGGGACAATTTTAACCCCTTAACCACCAAAAAACCCAAGGAACAAAACGCCGAATCCTCCCCTACCTTTGGCCTCGCTGTCGGAATTATCGGCGCTGCCGGTGTCCGCGCTTTTCCCCCTCTCCTTTTCCGCCTCGCCCGCGCTCGCTTTCGCTTTTTCCGACTTAATTTCCCCCTGCGGCCGCTCCGCGCCGGCGTTTTGGGGGAAATCGCGCTGGAATCCGGGCGAGCCGCCCTCGTTTGCCGCCGCTTCCAGCCGCTCGCCCTCGAATCCCGGCCGAAATTCCGCCGGATCGGGGCTTTTCTCCAGCGAGGGGTAGCGGTAATAACCGGCCGGCGGCGCCTCGGGCTCGGCCAGGCAGGGCTCGCCCAGCGGCGCGGCGAAGAGCGCGCCCTCGGCGGCGTTTTGCGCGCTTTTGGGCCGTTTTTGGGCGAACAGGCAGCAGCCGCTCTCCTCCTTGACGGCGGGGAAGGCGCAGCTCGGCGGCGGGCGCGGCTCGGCGCGGAACGCGTCCAGGTGAGCCAGGTAGGACGGGAAGGAGCCCGGCGAGGCCTCGGCGCCTTTGGGCAGCGCCGCGCAGCTCCGCAGCGGCGAGAAATCCGCGGGCTGGGCGAAAATGGCCGGGCCGGGGGCGAAGGGGTCGGGGCGAGGCAGCGGCTCCATCAGGAAGGCGCCGGGAGCCGCGCTGCTGGGACATGACATTTTCTCCGGGAGCGCTTGGCGGGAGGAATACTCCAGCCGGGGGCTGACATCTTTTTTTTAGCGAGGGGGGGAAGGAGGAGAGAGAGAGAGAGAGAGAGAGAGAGGGGGGAAAAAAAAAAAAAAAAAAAAAAAAAAAGGGGGAGGGGGGGGAAAAAAAAAAAAAAAAAAAAAAAAAGAAAAGAGGGAAAAAAAAAAAAAAAAAAAAAAAAAAAAAAGAGGGAAGGGAGGGAAAAAAAATTAAAAAAAAATCCGAGCGCGGTAATTACCCGCGCATCGCTTTCACTACGCCCACCCCGCCTCTTTTCTTTTTTTTTTTTATTATTATTTATTTTTTAATTTTTTTGCCGTTTTTTGCTTTTTTTTCCGCCTTCCAGCCCTCACCCCCACGTGACGCCCAGGCCAATGAGGATTGAAAATGGCCTTGGTGATTCAGACGGCGCGGACGTCACCGGGGTCAAGTTGTCGCCAGCGGCGGCGGCTCCGCGGAGCAACAGCGACATCTGCCCGCGCCCGGCCGGGGCCCAAAACCGCCCCAAAATCCTCATTCCCCGGCAGAAATCCGCCCCCCCCGCGGGTTTTTATAGCGGCGATAAACCGGGGCAGTTCGGTTTAAAGAATAAAAAAAAAAGTGTGGGGTTTTGTGTGCGGTTTTTTTTGTTTTCGTTTTGTTGGGGTTTTTTAAAATTTCTTAGTTCTGTCGGTGGAAAATCCGCTTTTTGCGGGCGAAAATAGGGAGGGGGGTTAATTGTGGTTTGTTTGTGGTTTAATTATGGTTTAATTATGCCCCCTCCCTTTCCTCATCCTTCGCCTTCCTCCCTCCGCGGCTCCTTCCTCCTCCTCGGGGCCGCTCCGCGCCCGGAGCCGCCGCTGCTCGGCCGAATTTTGGTTTTTATTCCCATTATTTCGCGCTCTGCAGGGGCCGGGGGGGCTTTGGGGGCCGCGCTCGGTTTTGGCCCTTTAGGAAAAAAATCGGGGCGGGAGCTGGGGGGGAGAAATTTGGGGGGAAAATCCCAAAAATTCCCAGTTTCTCCCGCAGCTCCCCGCAGCAGGTTGGGATTTTCCCGAGCGGCTTCCCCTGACGGAGGAAAAAAAAAAGGTGAAATCCAAATTTTATTTTATTTTTCCTTATTTTTCGTCGTGTTTTTTAAATTTTAATTCAATTTTTCCCCCCTTTCCCCGCCGCGCAGCAGCTTCGCCTCCCCTTGCGCTGCCCCAGCAGCTTTTTTTAATTATCCGCTCTCATTCCCGAATGTCTGGAATTTCTGGGATAAAACCGCACCGGGGGGGAAGGGGGGAAAAAAATCCCTCCGGAGAGGGGGGAAAAAAAGCTCGGATTTGGGAAAAAAGCCGGAATTTGGAGAGCAGCAGCCGCCGCCGCCTCTTTTGCTGCGGGAATTCTCCATCCAGCCGAAAACGCTCGGAAAAAAAAAGATTTTTAAAGAGAAACTCTCCGGATTGGGGCGGATTTTAATTTAATTTAATTTCCATTCTTTCCCTGCAGTTTTTTAAAAGGAGTTTTCATTGTTTTCCAGCAGCTAATTACGGATTAAAGTTACTTTTTGGGGTTTTTCTCCCAGATTTTTTCCTTTCTCCTCTTTTTCCGCGGCGCCGCTCCCACCGAGGGCTCCTCAAGTTGGATTTTTTTTGGAATTTTAAATCTCCCAGCGAAAATTTGATGCCCAAAACCGCCGGAATTGGGGTTTTTGGCAATCGCCTCCAAATTATTTCGTTTATTATTCCGGAATTGGGTTTTTTCCAGCGTTTGGGGATCGGGAAAACGCGAAATAAATGGGAAAAAAAAGGGGAAATAGGCCGGGAATTTCAAGATCATGACGGGGGAGAAAGAGGCGGGTTCAGAGTCACTTTCAAGGGAAACAAAAAGAAAAAAATATTTAAAAAACAACCAAAAACCAGCAAGAAAAAGGGCCGGAGAACAGGAAAAAAAAATAGGGGGGAAATTAATAATAAAAAGGAATGGACAAAGGGGAAAAATAAAATGAGGGGAAAGAAAAGAAAGGGGGAAAAAAAAAAAGCAAAGTGGAACTTGACCGTTTGGGGCGATTTGTGACGGTTTAGGGCAAAGCCCCGAGGGACATTCCGGGACATTCTCGGGGATTTTCCCAAAGATTCCCAAAAAAAAAAAAAAAAAACCGCCAGGTTTCCCTTCCCGCATGGAACGAGCCAAAAATCCCAATTTTTAGGCCTAAAAGCGCCGCGCGTTGAAACTTCCCGGGATTCCGGCGCCATTTGGCTCCCTCGGAAAAAAAAAGATTAAAAAAAAAAAGGGAAAAAAAGCGAATTGCGACTTTATGGCCTCGCTCGGGGGATCCGCGCGGGGAGGAATCTCCGCTTTTTATGGATTTTATGGCAAATTCCCAAAGTTTCATTGACGGCCGATGAAATTAAAGCCCCGCGCGGGATTTTTATTTTATTCTGCTTTTTCCCCCCTCCAATCCCATTTAATTTTATTTTTTCCCCCCGCCGGTTTGATTTTTATTTTTCATTTTCCCCCTTTTTAATTTTATTTTCCCCTCCTGGTTTCGTATTTATTTTATTTTTTTTTTCCCATTTAATTTTATTTTTTCCCCCCGCCGGTTTGATTTTTATTTTTCATTTTCCCCCTTTTTAATTTTATTTTCCCCTCCTGGTTTCGTATTTATTTTATTTTTTTTTTCCCATTTAATTTTATTTTTCCCGCCCGTTTGATTTATATTTTGCTTTTTATTTTCATTTTTTCCGCCCTAGAATTTCCTCGCGGTTTTGGGACACCCAAATTTCACCCCGCCTTGTCAGCCTGGACGATAATTTGAATTTTTTTCCCCCATTTTTTCTCTCTCTCTCTCCCGGAAATTTTCCCGGTTTTTTTCGTCCTCTCATCCCGGTTTGACGGATTGAAATATTTTGAATTTTCTGCTCCACGCAGGAACATCCGGAGCGAAACTCCCCAAAAACGGGTGGGAAAATGGGGGGGAAAGCGCTCAAGATCTCATTTTTTGGGGCAATCCGGATTTACAGCGGATTTTTGAGCGGATTTTGCCATTTTTGGAAGGTTTTAAGGCCGTTTTCCGCTCCTGATCGGCATCTTAGGGCCGCGAAGTGGCGAATAAATGCTAAAAAATCAAATTATTCCTTAATGACGAGCTGGAAATTACTCGGAATTCCGGGTTTTTTGGGGGGAAAAGGGAGGGAAATGTCCTGGAGAGGGAATATCGCTGAAAATCCAAAATAATTGAAATTCGGATTAAAGGCGGCTGTTAATGGGGGGAGAGGAACCAAATTCATCAAATTCCCGCGGGGAAAAATTCCAACTGCGGAGAACAAATCCGGGAGCGGCAGGAAAAGCCCGAAAGGGGAAAAAAGGGAATTGCCCAATTTCCTGGGAATTTCCTGGGAATTTCCCCATTTCCTGGAATTCCCCTTTTCCTTGGAATTCCCCATTTCCTGGAATTTTCCCGATTTCCTGGGATTTCCCGATTTCCTGGGAATTTTCCCATTTCCTTGGAATTCCCCATTTCCTGGAATTTCCTGGGAATTTCCCCATTTCCTTGGAATTCCCCATTTCCTGGGAATTTTCCCATTTCCTGGGATTTCCCCATTTCCTGGAATTTCCGGATTTCCTGGGATTTCCCCATTTCCTGGAATTTCCGGATTTCCTGGGATTTCCCCATTTCCTGGAATTTCCGGATTTCCTGGGATTTCCCCATTTCCTGGAATTTCCGGATTTCCTGGGATTTCCCCATTTCCTGGAATTTCCGGAAGGGGAAAAAAAGGGAATTGCCCAATTTCCTGGGAATTTCCTGGGATTTCCTGGGAATTTCCCCATTTCCTGGAATTTCCTGGGAATTTCCCCATTTCCTGGGATTTCCTGGGATTTCCCCATTTCCTGGAATTTTCCCATTTCCTGGAATTCCCGATTTCCTGGAATTTCCCCATTTCCTGGGAATTTTCTCATTTCCTGGAATTTCCCCATTTCCTGGAATCTCCCCATTTCCTGGGAATTTCCCCATTTCCTTGGAATTCCCCATTTCCTGGGAATTTTCCCATTTCCTGGGATTTCCCCATTTCCTGGAATTTCCGGATTTCCTGGGATTTCCCCATTTCCTGGGAATTCCCCATTTCCTGGAATTTCCCCATTTCCTGGGAATTCCCAATTTCCTGGAATTCCCAATTTCCTGGGAATTCCGGCCCTTTCCGCGCCCGGGCTCGTGGCGGCTCCAACTCGGCCTTTTTGGGGCTTTTTTGGGCTAAAACCCCCAAAATCGGATAATTTTTTTCCTTCCTGGCCCCCTGGGAAGTGCGGGACGATTTTTGGGGCAGTTAAGGCCCGAAACAGCCCAGGGAAAACGGAGATTTTTCCCTTCTTGGGCCAATTTAGGGCGTTTTTTTGCCCAAAAAACATAAAAATTGATTCCCCATTTCCTGGGAATTTCTCCATTTCCTTGGAATTCCCCCATTTCCTGGGAATTTCCCCATTTCCTGGCAATTCCGGCCCTTTCCGCGCCCGGGCTCGTGGCGGCTCCGACTCGGCCTTTTTGGGGCTTTTTTGGGCTAAAACCCCCAAAATCGGATAATTTTTTTCCTTCCTGGCCCCCTGGGAGGTGCGGGACGATTTTTGGGGCAGTTAAGGCCCGAAACAGCCCAGGGAAAACGGAGATTTTTCCCTTCTTGGGCCAATTTAGGGCGTTTTTTTGCCCAAAAAACATAAAAATTGAGGATTTCCCCGTTTCTCACCCCCCTGGGGCTAGGGGACATTTTGGGGTCAATTCAGGGGGTTTAGGTCCAACAAACCCTAAAAAAAAGAGGGAATTTCGCTTTTCCTCCTCCCTTTGGAGATGGGAACCCAATTTTGGGTCACGTCACGACGATTTTGGGCCAATAAATCCCCCCAAAATTAAAGATTTGGCTTTTCCTGCTCCCTTTTTTATTCCCCGTCTCACCATTTAACCTCAATTATTTCCCGAGCTCTCCTTGTTTTGGGGTTTTTTTCCCCGAATTATTGT